TTTTGCTAGTGTATGTTGATTATAAAAAAATAATGAATTCCATTGTGATGTTTTCTCACATGCATATAATTTTCTTTTATTATATTCACCCTTCCTCCCCTCTACTGTCCTCACCCCTTCTAGCCCTTTCCTCTTCCCAAATTAGGACAGAAAGCTGTTTCAGTGAACACCTGCTATGCCTCTGGTCTCTGCAGGCACACACACGCACACAGACCCACAGAGAGAGACACACACACAGACACACACACAGACCCACAGAGAGAGAGACACACACACAGACCCCCACACACACACAGACCCACAGAGAGAGAGACACACACACACACACACACACACACACAGACCCACAGAGAGAAGACACACACGACCCCCACACACACACAGACACACACCGACCCACACACGCACACAGACCCACAGAGAGAGAGACACACACACAGACACACACACAGACCCACAGAGAGAGAGACACACACACAGACCCCCCACACACACAGACACACACACAGACCCACACACGCACACAGACCCACAGAGAGAGACACACACAGCACACACACAGACCCACACACGCACACAGACCCACACACGCACACAGACCCACAGAGAGAGAGACACACACACAGACACACACACAGACCCACAGAGAGAGAGATACATACACAGACACACACACAGACCCACAGAGAGAGAGACACACACACAGACCCACACACGCACACAGACCCACAGAGAGAGAGACACACACACAGACACACACACAGACCCACAGAGAGAGAGATACATACACAGACACACACACACCCACAGAGACCCCCCCCACACACAGACCCACACACGCACACAGACCCACAGAGAGAGAGACACATACACAGACCCACCCCCACACACAGACCCACAGAGAGACATACGAAGACACACACACACACACACAGAGAGACAGACACACACACATAGATACAGACACACAGAGACAAACACACACACACACACACACACACACACACACACGTTCCTAATTTTAAAAAAAATCTTACAGTTTAGTAACATGCCTCCAAATCACACAACTTGCAAAATGACACAGCAGAATAAAAATCCAGGCATTGCCTCTAGATACTTGTTGAGTGAGTGAATGAGAACAGGAGAGGGAAGGAGGTGGGACAGAAGGGGAGCTTGAAAACCAGTGAGGACCCGGATGAAAGTGTGCTTTAAGTTGTGCGGGCACCGCAGGCAGGAGGAAGGAGTTGGTTCTGTGGGTCAGGGCGGATCTCCCCCCTTCCTCCCAAGGGCATCCCTTCTGCAACTGCCCTGTCTCTGAAGCATCGGGAGTTTTTCTCGTGTCAGTGTATGATCAGCGTATGAACATGCCGAAGTACTTCTCATCCTTAAAACAATAATAAAAACACATTGCCACCCTTACCCCACTCTCCTTCCAACTGTCTCTGTCTCCCTTTATAGCAAAGCAGTCTTCATTCTGACTCTACTCCATCCTTGCTTCCTCCTAAACTCAGTGGACTCTGAGTTGAACACCCGCAAACCCACCCCTCACCATACACATGCCCCCACCCACGCCCACTAGTGAAACAGCTTCCAGGGAGGTCAGCAGTGGCCTGCATGTTACCCAGTTCAGTGCTCAGCCCAGGTCTCACCTGACCAGCCAACCCTGTGTTTGACACCACAGGGACATCATGCTCTCTCCTGAATTTTGTTTTGTTGTTGTTCTTTGAGACAGGGTCTCACTGTTTTTCTCAGACTGGCATCAAACTTGTGTCAGTCCTGCCTCAGCCTCCTGGGATTCTAGGCTTGAGCTACCTTGCCTGTCTCCTGATTAGTTTTCTGTTTCCAGCTACTGTGCCATGCCACGCCCACGCTTCTGGTTGTCTCCCAAATGTTGATCTTCCCAATGCACATGCCTGTTGAAAAGTAGCAATTCTCCCATCTGGACACGAGCCAGGTGCTCAGCCTGCCTTTGCCACCTTACTTTCCTCACAGTGCTTGTACGGTGCTCACAAAGACCCCCCAGATGTTGACTCTTCTGCAATGCACACGTCAGTCAGTGCAGCAGCCCTCTTTTGGGATTGAAAGCAAACACGAGCCAGGTGCTCAGCATCTGGATGAGAAGTCTGCCTGCCTCAGCCACCTTCTGTGTCTTATAGTACTTGTGTGGGGTTTGAGAAGATGGCCAGCCCTCCGTTCCCCATCCTCGCCTGGTCCCAGGGATCTGAGTTCCCACTGCATCGGAGGCTAAGGATGGGATTTTCCATCCCTTTGCTCCCTTGGCATCCTCCATGACAGCCTCTGACTCCAGATGTAGCCCTTCCTTCCATTCACTGCCCAATACTTGGCCTGGTTCCCTAATCTCAGCCCTTCTGAGCAAAGTGGGGGTGTGGAAGTTGGGTTTTCTTTTGGGCTCCGGTTTGGTCATCTGGTTTTCCTCTGAAGAGCATGCGGTTTATACTCTTCACCCCAGGGACTTGTTAGTCACGTTTGCAGCACAATGGGTACTCTTAGTGGGTGAAATGCTGTGTCTTCCACAGTGAAAGGCCAGCTGCAGATGCAGAGTAGGAGAAGAACAAGGGCAGAATGATTTGATCAGACATCTGGGGGCCTCCTGGCATTTGGAGTGAGTGCCTAGAGGAACTAACTATTCTGGCCTGAGGGAGCAGGCGACCATTAATCTTAGTGGGTTTGACCGCTGTCTGCCCCAGAGGTCCCAGCCTGCTGTATGACTCAGAACCCTCAACACTCCCCCTATTCTTCTCTCACTGGGACATTCGGGAGGCCCTTTCAAAGGCCTTTTAATTTGGTAATAATTGACGTGCCCTGCAATTTGCAGGCTTGCTTTCTAAATGATTGGTTGGCATTCATCATCCCGATGCTTGACCACCTTGCACACCTAGGAAAAGCAGATTCCTGCCTGCCCTGCCTGTCTCCTGCTGCTCTTCACTCCATCTGGCCAGCAGGCTCTCCTCTCCAACTCTAGCCTAGATGCTCTGGGCTGTCCGATAGCCCTCCTTCTTGCACCTACCAAGAGCTGAGAGCATGAACTAGGGAGAGGAAAGATACGGCCAGAGGCCCGTCTGTTGATCATTTCCTTCTACAATGCACTGTTATGAATGGCAACCACCATCTGCCTTCCAACTTCTCTGTAAACGTTCTGGAATTCAGAAAGACCATAGACACTCCATATAAGTCAGACAACCCTGAGGGTAAGGGTTTTGGAGACATGGCATGAAGGCCACAGCACTGTGTACATACTTTCAAAGAGTGGGGTGAGGCCTTCTTGACCCTCATTTCTAACCGTATCCGGCCATGTCAACTGCTCCTGCTGGTGCTGGGCTCCAGGCCAGCTTGTATGATCATGTTGCTGGTAGTGTCACGTCAGTACTCCTGACGAGGACAAATGAAGCTGCCCAGTCTTGGGCCTGGCTCTTCATCTTTCTGAACCCCAAGAGTCTATTTGTGATGCTCAGCACCCACTCCCAGGGCTGCTGAGAGGAGGAGTTGTTAGTCACTGTACTTCATCCAGAAGGTTCCAGTAAGTTCCGTAATTGCACTGACGTCTATATTTCATTTCCAAAGTACAGTTGTTTACATAGGAAAATACAGTTTTTCTCCTGTTAGAACCTTTAAGTTTGTTTTGTTTATCAAATACAATTTCAGCCCCTCACTTTGCATTTGCATCTCATTTGCATCTCATTGGTAGGAAAGGCTTAAAAATGTTGATCTCTAAAATTCTGTGTATACTTAACAAGCAGTCTCTTACATAAGGCCCCGGACTAGACCTCCATGGGTGAATTGGACTTGTCACCCGGAGGATGATGCATCAACATTCCTGGCTGTCCAGCAGAGACACACACCCACACTTCAGTCCCTGCAGGGGCCATGCTGAGGGCCAGCTTGCTATCGAGCCACACCCAGGGAAGCAGCTGGCCCCAGAGAATTTCCCAGTGTGTGTGGGGCGGCAAGGTTGGGAATCAAAGCTGGCAGGTGACACAGCTGGCAGGGCCTGCCGTGCCGGTGTTCACTGGGTCATTGACTGACAATGTCCTGATGTCCAGACTGCATGGGGCAGGACTGTGGTGGAGGGCTGTGACTCTGGCCACACACCGAACACAGCAGGATGTGGAAACCTGATGTTGTAGGGTGATACAGTGATGGTCACACGGCAAAGGCAAGGCCAGAACACAACCATCCAGACAGTGCTTACGTTCTACCCTATAGCTTCCTGAGATTGCCTTGTCTCCAGATCATAGTGAAGGGAGGCCGTTGGCATTATTTTGGTTCTCACAATAATTACAGCAGTCTTTGTGTGCCCATCTCTGCAAAGTGAGGGCAGAGGTCTGATCTCAAGAATCTGTACTGTAGTGAGAGACAGTTCTCCTGCGGCAGAGCAGTGCAGCCGGGAGTGGGTATAGGATAAGGATGGTGGGTAGGGAGACTGTCAGAGCAGGGAGGCAGGCAGCTCAGTTTGTGGGCCAGGAAATCACTCCTGTACAGTCCACATCTGAGTTTAGTTTTGAAGGGCCAGGCATTCTCCACAAAGAGGACCAGAAAAATTCTGAACTGCAGAGGCGAGCACGCTCCATTGAAAGTCAGTCAGGGGATTCATCGGTAGCTAGACACAGCAAATGTGTGTCTGTGGCTATGTTCAGACCACTGAGAATGGTCCCCACTGGGTGGATGGTAGGGAGTGGGGGTGGAGGGGAGAAAAGCAGAGGAGACTGGGCATATAGGGACGGGCCAGGAAGACGTGAGGGCCAGTGCTTCTGAACGTGTCAAAGTCTTAGCAGCCTTGTCCAGCAGAGCCCCAGGCATTGCTGCATTGATGATCAGGCTTACTACAAAGAATCTGTTAAGCCAAGGGTACTCCTTTTGTGGAGGCCATTGAGGAGCCTTTTTTATTGTGCTGTCTAATTCTCTTAGGAACTTGGTGGTGAATTGATAATCTACCCACTGCTCTGGGCCCAGAAAGTTCTGACCTTCCTTCTCTCCCATAGGCCTGCCGAGCTAGCCACCAAGTACGCAAACTTTTCAGAAGGAGCTTGCAAACCTGGCTACGCTTCAGCCCTGATGACCGCCATCTTCCCCAGGTATGTGATCCTGTCCTGCGATGGACAGTGTGGGCTGCGTCTCAACATCTGAGGGAAAAAGACTGCTGTGTGTCCTCTCCTTTGTCCAGTGGCGTCAGGAGAAGGACTCTGCTTTTCCTGGTTCACCCCACCCACTCCGCTTTTGCCACGGTCTACTCCCACCTGGCCTTAGAGGACAGAGAGGAGAGAGAGATCTGCATGCCTGGACCTGGAAGCCAGGTGTCCAAAGCCACTGGGCAAAGCATTGACACTTCTGGTCCTGGGATCACTGGTTTAACCAAGCTGGGTCCCACTGGTTGGCATCAGGGAGACATATCCAAATAAAGCATGAATGAGGAATGCTTCCCGGAACTGTCTAGATGTTAGCACCTTCCCTCTTGTCCACTTTGCATTCTGGGGTGCCTGTTCTTCCTGGTTTCAGGCTTGCCAAAAGAATCTGTGCCTATCAAATGCCATTATCGGGAATAGGGGCCGATGAGCTGAAATTGTTTTGTCTTGTCTGGGAGCTCCAGACCTCAGGTGAAGAAAGGGCTTCTGGACATCAAGATGTAGCACTCAGCCTGCTGGAATGCTGGTGGGGGGGGGGGCAGCTGTGCTTTCTGAGGGAAGAACTTGCTTCCCATCCTTAGGAGCTCAGGGTACATAATATGCTTTTACCAAGGGATTGCTGAGAAGCAGCTGGTTCCAATCCCACTTAGATCCCTATGAAAAGCAGGGGCTAGAGTAGCTGATGTCCAGATTGGTTCTTAGTCTGGGCTCTGCCTTCTGAACTGACTCCCACTACTTGCGTCCTCTAGCCATTACTGAATCCCTCCAAAGTGTGAGGCTCTGTCTTCTCTCTTCTTGCATAAGCTGTACCCACTAGCTAGATGCTTGTGAGTTTTCCTTGACCAGGACGCAGGTTTCTTCTACTATTCTAATTAAAAGTAATATAAGTCTATGGTGCATGTGTGTGTGCTTGTGTGCATGTGTGGTGGGGGTGTGGCTCTCCATTTCTACCCCAGAGACAGACACTGTCATCATACATAAAAATGTATTTTATTGTACTCCTAAAAGTTATGTTAGTGATTATTGCATTACTCGAATATATGGCTTCACCCCCTTTTTTTTCAGATATTTTCATTTATTTGGGGATGCTGAGGGCCAAACCCAATGTCTGTTTTTAAACTATCTGCTCAACATCCCTTATCTCTTTTTTCCTTTCTTTCTTTCTTTCTTTTTTCTTTTTTTTTTTTTTTTTTTTTTTTTGAAAAGGTCTTACTATGTAGCCCTGGCTAGACTGGAGCCTGCTGTATAGACCAGGCTGGCCTTGAACTCACAGAGATTCACTTGCCTTTGCCTCCACGTGCTAAAACCCATATCATTTTTAACATATTGCATGTTTGGAATATTTGTTGAAGTTTAATTTGTGTACAATAAAGTTTGCCCTTTAGTGTCATTCTGAACTTTGACACATTCAGCTATGTGAACACAGCAATCAGTAGCACATACCCATCTCCCTGAGATTCCCCCATGTTGGTTTTTGATGAGCTTCTCTTCACCATCAGCCTCAGGCAACAACTAACCTACTTTCTATCCCTGCAGTGTTTCTAGAATGTCTTGTGAATGGGATCTGAGTGTGTAGCTCTTTGAGGGAGTTTCTCACATTTGGTATGATGTAGACATAGTCCATGCATCCATCTGTTGTATATACCAGCTATTTGCTCCTTTCAGTTGCTGAATAGTATTCCATAACAGAGCTATAACGCTTCTGTTCTCTCAGAAGTCAAAGACATGTAAGGTAATTCCAGTTTGAGGTGTTGGACATGGCTTAAGGGGAGGGAGAAAGCCATTAAAACACAAAGTGTGGGTTTTGTATGAATGTTCACCTTCCAGAGTGAATACCTAGAAGTGTGATGGCTGGGTCCAATGTCATATATGCGGCTCACTTGTAAACATTGCCACACTGTCTTTCAGTGTGATTGTACCAATTTTCTGTCCCACCAGCTGTAACTGACAGTCCCAGCTGCTGAACATCCTCCTCTGGCTGGGCTGGGAGGGGATGGGAAGCAGTGGGTAGGGGTTGTTATCTTTCAATGACTTTACAGGGCAGGTATTTTTAATATTGATGGAGTACAACTCATCACCTTTTTTTTCTTTTATGTATTGAACTTTGTGTGTTGCATCTAAGAAATATTCTCAAACACAAGGTCAGAAAGTTTTTTTTTTTTTAATCTTGTTTTCATCTAGAATTGTTATGGGTTTAGCTCTTGAATTTAAGTCTCTGACATGTTCAGAGTTCTTATTTGTATATAGTGGCATGTAAGAGCTTCGGATTTCCTTATTTGCATATATAGGTGTCTATTGGTTCCAAAATGGTGTTGGCAACCCCCACAACACACATATGCCATACACATACATGTGCACACACATATGCACATACACACACACACACACTCATGCACAGATGCACACACGTATACCTTGATTTTATTGAATTATTGACAATCAGCTGACATGCGTTGCTATTTTACTGATCTTTGGCTGTCCTTGTGCTAATGTCACACACAATTGCACAGTCGTGTCTTCTGTTACTAAAGGCAGTTTTTTTCCCCATCCTTTCCAGTATAGTAGCCTCTCCTTTTTACTTTATCCTACTTACTGTCATGGTGTGATGTGGTAGGGTATGCCACAGCATGTATGTGGAGGTCAGAGGAAACCTTGGGAGTAGATTCTCTCCTTCCACCTTATGTGGGTTCTGGGAATTGATTCCATGTTCTCACACTTTGCAGCAAACTCTTTGACCCACTAAGCCATCTCCATCTCGCTGGCCCTGGTGTCGCTTACTCTTTTTTTTTTTTCTTGCTTTGCTAAGTGGACTCTTCAGATTGATATTAAATAATATGATTATTACATTGCTAGCAGTTTGATCAGCTCATCCCTAGGGGATGTGGAATAGATGTGGCTGAAACTTTCTGTTCTTTAATCACGTGATTGGTCCACTTGAAGTCAGCCCCCATTCTGAGGCTCTCCGGGCATCCACCAACAGTCTCTTCATTAGATATTCCTGTCACCCCCAAAATTCCAAGGAACTTGGAGTTCTATGTCAGATGTTCCTGTCACTCAGAAAATTACAAAAGTCTTAGGAACTCTGGGTCAGGAATATGCACCAAAGACCAAATATTAGACCAGAAGACCCCCAATATCATAGCAAAGATCCAAATATTAAAGCAAGAGACCACTAATATCATAGCAGAAAATTTCCCAATATCAGATCAGAAGACCCCAAAATACCATAGCAGAAAACCCCAGTATTGGAGCAGAAGGCCCCCAGTATTGCAGTAGAAGAACCCTACTATTAGACCATTATTAGAACCCTACTATTAGAATATTAGACTATTAGACCTCAGTATTGGAGCAGAAGACCCCCAGTATTGGAACAGAAGACCTCCAGTATTGGAGTAGACAAACCCCAGCATTGGAGTAGAAGACCCCCAGCATTGGAGTAGAAGATCCCCAGATATAGAGTAGAAGGCTCCCCAAAAGCATGAGAGTAGGAGAACTTCCAGGGAAGAGGGGTTCATCAGGAGTGGGATACGGAGGAGAGAAAGAGTTATCTGGATGTGAAATGACCAAAGTACAATGTATACACATCTGAAATGTAATTAGAAACACACTTTAAAATAAAGGGAAAATATCCCTCTAGTGTTGTTATCTTAAAGTTTTTAGGAACAAGGGACAGAGACCTAAAAAGGAAAATAAAGTTACAGATACATACTTTTTTCTAACTTCCCTTAATGACTTTTCTTTAATTAGTGAGCTCTTTGAAAGTGTTGCTTGAGTTCTAGTTGTCTGAGAGTGTTGTGTGTAATCACAATATACTTAATATGGTTTTTATACTTTTAAATGATTGAGATCTGAGTTATGAGGCAAAATCTGGTCCATCTTGGTGAATGCTTTTGAGAAGAGAGTATTTGCTATTGCTGGATACTCAAAAGTGACATCTGATGAGCCAGGTTGATAGTGTTTGTCAAGCTGCCACGTCTTTACTGGCTTTCTATCCACTTAATTCTGACAGAGTATTGAAATCGGCATTCATCAGTTTTTACTCCACTCACTTTGAAGCTGTTCTTTGGTTCTTACACACTATGGTTATCATATCACCTCTGTAGGTGTCTAGATTCTGTTATTATTTTGAAATGTTTCTTTTTCACTAGTAATAATCCTTGTGAAGTTTTCCTGTATAATGTCAATCATTATAACTGTTCCACTTGATTAAAATTAGCTTTATTGACTCCTTTGCCCCATCCATATATGTATGAAGGAGTATACGTTTGCTGCTCTTGAGCTGTTGCCTGTATGGTGGGCCAACCGTTCATCCTTGCTTTTAATCTACTGGTGTCTTTGTGTCTTCATACTTAAGATGGGTTTCTTGTAGATAGCACACAGCTAAGTCTTGCTTTTTAATAAAATATTACCGTGTCTGCCTTTTATTGGAATGCTTCTAAAATTATATGCCATCTATAAAATTATATAAGTCACCGATATGGTTGTGCCTAAATCTGCTATATTACCATTAGGTCCTGTTTATCTCTTTTCATGCCTTCTTTTGAATTAATTGCATACTATTATTTTATTTTACCCTCACTGTTGGTTTAATTAGCTGTATTAGTTTTGTTTTTAATGGATGGTTTGGATTTCATAAGGTACACTTTTAATTTATAATTATTTTCAAATACCATTCATGTAGAATATAACAATTTTATGTAACATTTTTCCATTCTTTGTGCTGTTTTATCATGCATTTTACATCTATTTATCCATCTATCATAAAGCCACAGTATTGTTTCATTAATTCTTCTTGACACACACATATACACATAACTTTAAAAATAAAATTCTTTGTGGGGCGGTGGTGGCACACGCCTTTAATCCCAGTACTCAGGAGGCAGGCAGATCTCTGTGAATTCGAGACCAGCCTGGTCTACAAGAGCTAGTTCCAGGACACCCTCCAAAACCAC